GGAGATGGAAGCAGGAGAGGCTGCAGGCAGGCAGGAGATGGAAGCAGGAGATGCTGCAGGCAGGCAGGAGATGGAAGCAGGAGATGGAAGCAGGAGGTGCTGCAGGCAGGAGATGCAGGAGATGCTGCAGGCAGGCAGGCAGGCAGGAGACGATGCAGGCAGGGTTTGCACTGGGGCTGTGCTGCCAGCAGAGCGCAGCAGCAACCCGCTGTTGTGTGAGCAGGGCCCAGCCTGGCACAGCCCCGCATTGGTGAAGCCTTAAAGAGCATTTCTGGAGTAAATTCTGCCCCTGCAGCCCTTCTCTCCTGGGTGCCAAGAAGCATCACCGGGTCGGGCTCCGGTTCTCCTCCTCCACCCAGAAAAGACACAGCATTGGTTGCAAAATAGCTATAATCACAGTAACCTGAGTTGTAAGAATAGGTCACAGTGGTGCCAGGAATGGAAACTGAAGGGTTTGCTGCCTTCCCTGCCCATCCCCTCCGTCCCTGCCCATCCCAGCCACACGTGTCCTTCTGGAGAGCATCCCCAGGATCAGGCTGAAGGCCTCAGTGAAACAGCGGCTCCAGGGACATTTCTTAAATAGAACTAATGGTGATAGTCAGGAGAATAGGAAAAACTGGAAATTTCTTGAGAAATACTCACTTTTCCAGCTCTTGTTTCGATCAGAGCAGTCAAACTTGATTTCAGACTCAGTGCAGTGCAGTTGGGCTGTGCAGAGACCTCCGCTTCAGCTGAACCAAAACCTTTCAGATGTGTCTGTGAGAATTGTCGAGATGCCGCCTCGCTCTGTCCTCACTCAGGCCGTTTGGATCGCTCTTGTGTCTTCATTCTCAGAATTTAATAGGGCAGAAAATCTGTTTTTCAGCCAGCTCCGCACATTCCAGCTGTGCTGAGCACCAGCCAGAGTTAGTTTGGGGAGGAAAATGGGAAGAGTTACCCTGGATTGCATCACGAGGAGCGATGGGGTTGCTCCCCAGGGCTGGGATGGGACCAATGGGGCTGGGGTGGGACCACCAGGGTCAGGTTGGGACCAATGGGGCCGGGATAGAAACATCAGGACAGGAATGGGACCAATGGGTCTGGGATGGGACCACCAGGACCAAGATGGAACCAATGGGACCGGGATGAGACCACCAGGACCAGGCTGGGACCACCGGGCACCCACATCAGCTGCACACAGAGGCTGCTCATCCCCATCACTGTTGCAGCAAGGGCAGGACTCTGCAGTTGTTGTTGTTGGGAGCTGTCATTTCGAGGATTTGCAGAGCAGGAACATGAGCTACGGCCAAAAAAAACAAACCCAAAAGATAAAGGTCCCATCCAGCCCTGAGCATTTGTGGCAAGGGTCGTTTCAGGCTTCTTGGTAGGAAAGCAGCTGTGCACTTACACCCCCCCAAGGACCGTGGCACACCAGCGCTGCTTCACCTCGTTAAGTGCACGATGTTAATCAGTGCTAATCCTGTGACCCCAGCAGCTGAACTGCAGCCCAGCAGCCGCTCCCCTTCCCTGGGAATTCACGGCTGAATGTGCATTGTGGTGCTTTTCTTCCTAGCTCGTGAACATGGCCACGGCAAGGTGCGTCGCGGCGGAGAACACCACGCTGGCGTTGGAGGAGTGCGATGTTAACGACGAGGTGAGGATCCCCTGTGTGCGACGCTGTTTTAGTGCATGGCACAGAGCTCTGTACCAGCCCCCCGGGTGCTAATACACCCCTGCCCACCGGGGGACATGGTCTGGAGCCGTGGGAGCAGCGAGGGGCAGGCAGGGGCTGCTTCCCTGTGGCCACGCAGCAACCCCAGAGCCAGAAAATTGGGCTGGAACGGGGAATTTGGATAAAGGCATGAGCCTGTGCGTGAAAAATGCAGAGAAATGTTTAAATACCAGGGTGCTGTGTGTGGCTGCAGAGCATCGGTTGTGCTATGTGGCTGCTGTGAACAGCCTTCCCCTTCCTGTGCAGGCAGCGTTTTGGGACGTTTCTCCTTTGATTGCTCAGTGCTGGCACAGGGTGCGTGTGGGCTGGGGCTCCGCGGAGTTTGGGGTTTGTCCATTTGCCCCCTAGCACCGAGGTGCAGTGACCACGTTGGGATGGCAGGGCAGAGCAACCACATTGGGGTCTGGGCTCTGGAGCCGCTCACCACGGCCATGCTGAGCCCTTTGACCACACAGAGCCATGGGACGGGTCTGCCCTGGTCCCCGATGAGGGCAGGGGAGGAGAAGGCGATGCCCCATCACGTCTCTCCCCGGTCTCTCTGCAGCACCAGAGGTTCAACTACACGTGGCTGCGGCTGCTCCGGCACCAGGAGCTCTGCGTGGCCCCAGTCGGTGCCGGGGGAGCCCTGGGCCTGCGCCGCTGCGGGGACGGGGACGGGAACCGCGGCCTGGCCTGGCTGCACAGGGCGCTGGTGCGGGCAGAGCTGGTGAGTGAGGGGCTCTCATGGGGACAGGGACGTACCCCTCATTTTGGGTGGCACCACAGAATCCCAGGATGTCAGGAGTTGGAAGGGACCTGGAAAGCTCCCCCAGTGCAACCCCTGCCAGAGCAGGAGCACCAGAGCAGTCACACAGGAACACGGCCAGGGCTTTGGGTGTCTGCACACAAGGAGACTCCACAACCTCTCTGGGCAGCCTGGGCCATGCTCCAGAACCCTCACACTCACAAACTTTGGCCTCCTCTTCAGCTTGAACCTCCTGTGCTCCAGCTTGGGACCATTGCCCCTTGTCCTGGCATTGGCCATCCCAGAGCAGAGCCTGGCTCCTTCCTCCTGACACTGCCCTTTCCCAATGGATCCCCAGGAATGAGGGCACCCCTCAGGCTCCTCTGCTCCAAGCTCAAGAGCCCCAGCTCCCTCAGCCGCTCCTCAGCAGGAGATGCTCCACTTCCCTCATCATCTCTGTGGCCCTGCTGGACTCTTTCAAGCAGTTCCTGTCCTTGAGCTGAGGGCCCAGCACTGGTGTGCATCCCCACACCCCACGGGTGTTGCAGGGGCACGACAAAGCTTTTGGTGTTACACCATGGTAACAAAACGTCCTGGTTTTACACTGAAACCATCAATAGCACTTACACTTCATATTGATTGTCATTCAGCTCACATTGTTCCTTTAAAAGAAAGCATTTACAGAAAGGCAAAGAGCGGATACTTACGTTTATTACCCGCACTGCAAAAAGACAGAGTTGTACTGTATCTGTCAGCCCGGTGTAAGCAGTTGTCCAGAGTGCTCTGAAAGGGCATGCTTTAACAGAGAAATACTCCTAATTTAGGAAAGGGAAATAAACGTAGCTAAGTGGTACAGCCATCATATTGACAAGTTCTCATTCCTCTTTAGTCTGAAAAAATAACCCTTTCGAACCAAGGCTCACCTGGGGCGTTGTTTTGTGGAAAATACATGAAGATTGTCACCCACACAGGAGCCCAGACCATGTCCCTGGTGCGTGGGCAGCCTTCGGCTCCTGGTCCGGCCTCGGGCTGTGAGCTGGGGGTGTTTGGTGCTCCCTATCACAACCGTACCTGGGCACAGACAACGCTCTGCATGTCAGTATTTCACCTAGGCCTTAACCAAATGGTCATAGGAAATGCTGCAGTGCCAGGTGGTGATGCCAAAAACGTCCCTTACCTGTGGCAGCATCACCTCGCTGGCCCCGGGGGTTCATCAGACCAAGCAGATGTGGAAAGCAAAAGGTTGGAGATCTCTCGCTCCTCATTCTTCCATAATCCAAGTTACTGTCCCAGTGTTTGACCTTTGCTGCTGAACTTCCTAACATCCTTTTCAGTGCAGTAAATGCATTTTTTTGTTCATCAGCCAAGAAACTCCGAAATACGACCATCAGTCCCCTGCATATGATCCCCTATGGTTCCCATAGCATCTGAAGCTATTCCTTTGCATGGTGATTACCTCCCAGACACCAAGAGCTGATCTCTCCATTCCCGAGAAGGAAAAACTGCGTAGCACCGCAGGGAGGATGCCAAAATCCCGCCCAAAAGCCCCTGTAAGGCAGCAAAGAGATCTTACATATAACATATCTAAGAGCCTGCAGGTCCGCGCTCAGCCGCAGGTGCCAGAATCCCACCCAAAAGTCTCTGTAAGGCAGCAAAGAGATCTTACATATAGAGAGAAATGTGAAAAAAAGGGTAGAGAATTGGGCTTTCTGGGTGGGAAAATGGAGCTGGTGCTGCCTAAATCTCTCCCCCTGCAGAGGGACCACCTGATGGCGGAGCAGCCCCCACGGCCGATGTGCCTGGAGGGGGATCCCATGCACGGCGCCCTGCGGATGAGCCCCTGCGACGCCACCAGCCCCTACCAGAAGTGGCAATTCGGGACTTACCACGCGGACTGACACAGTCGGTTCAACCAGGAGCACCAGCCAATTGACCCAGGAACACCGTGACTCCATCGTGTGAACGCGGCGGGGACGTCTGTGCCGCTTGTGACGGCAATCGCAGAACCAGGAGTTCATCCCCAAGTGCTTGAAAGCCCTAATTTAAACCAGCACAGAGAGCTCAGGGCACCGCGATCACCGCGTCTGGAGCAGGCAGGAGTGTTTCCTTCACTGCGGGAGGCTCTGGCAAAAACTCAAGTGATTGTCTGTGTTATTAAATGGGAATATTTTCTGAAGTCCCTCACCCTACGGTAGGCAAACCTCCATGGGTTTTCCCCTGACAGCAGCACCCGCTACAGAAATGCTGCTGTGCAAACAGCAGCCTGGGCTGCTCGCTCTGCCGCAGCCGGAGCAAAGGGAAGTTTATTGGACATCATTGCAAAAATCCATCCAATATTTCAAGGCTGACAGATGAGTAGCAGGGTTTGCTGGTCAAAAAAGCCACCTCTTAATAATGTCCCCAAGCCTCCACAGCTTTTTAGGGGCTGCCCAGGGTCCACTGCTGCTTTCCTCACTGGGATGCGCTGGTGCCGGAGCCCCCGGTGCAGCCCCCAGCATGGGGCGGAGCTTCCCCTTCTCCTGCCGGGGCAAACCAAGGGAAGCTCAACCCAAAACTTCTGCTCGATGGTCCTTGGAGTGGGTGAAAGCACCTGCTGAAGGCACTGAGGGCTTTTCCTCAAAAAAGGGTGCACAACACAAGTGTGTGTGTGTGTGTGTGTGTGTGTGTGTGTGTGTGTACAATGCATTTCATAGGGACAGTTGCAGAAGTGAATGGGAGCCCGGGCTGTGCGGGGTGGCCAGGCTCCACACACCAAAAGTCCCTCTTGTTTTACCATCATGGGCACATATTTGCCTTACTGTAACTCTCTGTCTCCAGCAGCCATCAGCAGTTTGTGAAGGGGCAGATTTGGCAGCAGAATAAATGCAGCTGTCACAGGGCAGCGCGATCCGGGAGGTGACACCAGTGTGTCCCAGGTGGGATTTCCTCCCTTGGTTCTCTTTGGTAGGCCCTAATGGGGGAGACTGGGGGAGCAGAGCTGCTTCTGCCCTGCAATGGGACAGGGACTGAGTACCCCATGTACCCCAGGGGCCCGGGTACACAGGGTTGAGCACCGCACTGGGGTCACACACAGCCCGGCCACCCCCATCCCATGTCCACACACCCCCTCATGCCTCACCTTGGGTTTTTCGGTACAGCATCGCCTCTGCCGTGGCGGATTGGTGCTGATGGGCTGAGCCTGCTAAACAGACTCCCCCCGCTGGCTCCTGTTCCAGCTGTCTTCCCCATTTGGTGCCGTCAGTCACCGTCACACCGCACCACGATTGTTGTGCAGTCACCTCTCATCCACAGCCCCAATCCCATCGGATCCTGGTTGCTGACAGTTGCTGAGCGGCCCCACACGGCCCCACGTCACTGTCACACCCAGGTGCCAGGGTTGTCACTCGCACTCCCGTTCCCAGTTGTGTGGATGTGGGCTCCATGTTGGGATCCTGCTTATGGACCGGGTTGTGCCTCGGGGGCTGCATTCGGGTGGCACCGGGTGGCCCCCGCTGCCAGAAACAAGAGCGTTGTCCCTTGCTCCTCCCGGCTCCCACTGACCATGCTGGGGTGAGCATTGCCCCTTGGGGGGCTTGGAGGGCCATGGGGGGTTTATGAGTGTTAAGGGGATGGGCACCATGGGTGGGTTCCGCAGAGCTGGCAGCGGGAAACGGGTCCAGGTTTTCTGAGCAAGAGCGAACGGCTCCTGCGCTGGGCTGGGCTTACTCCAAGCAGCACCGTGACATGGCCATGGGAGGCTCAGTTTGGTTTGTTTAAAAAAAGAAAGGGAATAAATGATTGACGTTTGGGCAGTTGTGCTGTCACCCAATGACTCCTTCCCACCCAGGGAGGGGAATTGGGAAAAGGAAAAGAAACCTGTGGGGTGAAATAGAAACGGAGTTAACAAATTGCCCAGTTTTTCCCAATTCCCCTCCCCAGGCAGGGAGGAGCCACTGGGTGTCAGCACAAACGCCCAGACCCCTGGTGACAGATGGAGCTGCTTCCTCTGCGCCCCGTGTGTTCACCCCATTTCTGACCGACTCTGCCTTTCCTCCCTGTGCACCGCAACCCAATGCCCTGCAACGAGCCTTTGAACCCCCATTCCCCCAGTTCAGGGCCGTGCTCTGGATGCCTGCTCAGCGCCATTAATACCAGTGCTGGCTGCACACCCCGTGGTCACCGGAGATGTTGTGGCAAGGTAAAAAATCATCCAAGTTCCTCAGGTGTCTGGGCCCGCTCACCCAGCACCTCATCCCCGCGCCAGCCCAACAAGAAACTATTATAACTGTCACCTGGTGTCTAAACCAGATGCTAAAAACCATCGCAAGCAGACAAATTATAAAAGAAGAAAACAAATCTGTTGCTGAAGCTGCTCCCCTCGCCCTGGGAGTACAAACACCCTCATGAGCCGTGGACCCTGACAGAAACCAGGACAGACGGACCTGTCAGCACCACAGAAACACCCTAAAACCACCAATCTCTCGGCAACGCACAGAGGTTCTCGCTTTCACTCCTGCTTTCATCTCACTTCGGGTTTTTGTTGTTTTCTTCCCCATTACATCTTTCTTTGATTGCTGTAAAGCAAATTTGCTATTGATATTTTGAAGCGCAGATCGAGGAGGTGGTGAAGCTGATGCCGGTGGGCACGGTGCAACACTTGGCCACTCACAGCCCCATCAAAACCCATGCGATGGCCGTGGCTGTGAGCGTCGCGGTGACAGGACCCCTGCGGGGGCAGCTGCGGCGCTGAACACCCCCGTGCGCGCTGGTACCAGCACAGCCCCGCGCTGGCGGCACAATGAGCGCTGTGTCTGCGCCGCACAATGCAGGGGTTCGCACGTTGCCTGTAAACCACTGCCTTCATGCAGAACAAGAAGGGCCAAAGTGATGCTGGGGGTGTAAAAGTAACCCTTGAGCAGATGCCCAGGGCTGGAGGAGGCCACGGTCACCGAGCTCAGAGCCCAGCTCCGTCCTTACCTCCTTTGTGGTTGGACTTTGTGATCCTAAGGGTCTTTTCCAGCCAAACGATTCTGTGAGCAATGCTGTAGCTACACAAGGATTTTTAAAAGTAGAGAAAGGTTGAAAACACAGAAAACAAGGTTTGGATGGCACAGAAACAAATTATGCGTGAAACTTTACTGGCTTCGATCAAAAAAGTCTTTAAAATTTTGCATCTAAACTTAGCATGAGAATCAGAAGTTGGGTGAGAGAGTCCAAACTGGTGGATTCCAGTGCAGATTCTGGTGGTTTTACTGAATAAGCACCACATGCAGGCGCCATACAGGACACAGGGTGCTGACACCGCTGCCCTCCAGGCTGGCCCTGACCCTGGCTCCAGCTCCCCAAAGGTGCCTCTGCCCCGGGCCACAGGGATTGGGCACCGCCAATGGCCACCACTGACAACACTGCCCCAAATCAGCCACCAGTGACAGCACGGCCCAAAACCAGCCACCCCAACAGCACCAAACCAGCCACCCCCAACAATGCTGCCCAAAAGCAGCCACCCCAAACAGCACTGCCCCAAATCAGACACCACCAGCAGCATGGCCCAAAACCCGCCACCCCTATCAGCACCAAACCAGCCACCCCCAACAGCATCAAACCAACCACCACCAAGAGCACTGCCCCAAACCAGCCACCCCAATCCAGCACTGCCCCAAATCAGCCACCCCCAACAGCGCTGGTCATGGCGAGCCACCACCATCCCATCTGTTTTAATTCCTGCGCCCACCCGTGACTGCCAACACCTGACACGGATGGCAGTGGTGGTGGGGTCGGGACGCGGCTGTTGGTGACCGTCGGACGCAGGCACAAACAGGGAGACCACCGGGGGGACGCAGGCACAAACAGGCAGCGCAGCGGAGCGCTGCGGGTGCACACAGTCACCTCTGTTACCGCTCCCAGCACCATGCCCAGTGTCACCGGGGGGGACTTTGCCCCGGTACCAGTGCGGCTGACAGCACTGGGCACAGGGGGGTCGGCAGCCCTGGCCCCGCACACCCCATTGTTTGGATTAGGTTACAGAATGAGAGGATGAATCTTAAATCAAATGGTATTACATTTAGCCAACTGATTATTTATTTTCCTGCGCTATGGATGCCTCTGCCTGCTGTCAAAGCAAAGCTGTTAAATTTTCACAGTGTATTACGAAATCATATACAAAAAAGGAAAAAAAAAAGCAGTGACCTCATGTGGTGTGAAGAGACACGTCTCAAGGGGCACAAAAAAAGAGAAACAAAACCAGAGTGAACGCTGGGCTGACGAACGACTCTCCAGCTCAGTTCATAAGTGCATCATGGACTCAAACTCGTCGATGCGCTGTTTGGTGTTTCCTTTTCGAATCCTCCGGTAGGAGATTGTGTTGTACCTGGAGTAGCTGTGTCGGGAGATGTCGTTCTTCTTCCCCAGGCTGAGCTGCTCCCCCGCTTTCTCCGCCTGGGCGTTGCAGCCGGGGCTGGTTGGGGGTGATGCATCCTTGCCTCCCTCCTGCTGCTTTAGACGGGACGCCTCGCCGTCCTCCTTCTTCAGCTCGATCACCTGCACCTCGTCCTCTTCCGTGTCCTCCTCCTCCTCCTCCTCTTCCTCCTCCTCCTCTGCCTCCTCTTCCTCAGCTGCAATCCCTCTCCCATCAGCAATGGTCCCATCAGTGCTGGCTGGGATGGTCCCACTGGGGCTGGTGATGCTCCCATCAGGGCTGGTGATGCTCCCATCAGGGCTGGCCATGATGGTCCCATCGGTGCTGGTGATGCTCCCATCGGTTCCGGACACCATCCCTGGCTCCCCGCTGCCCACCGGCGTCTCCTCGCTCCCTGGCCCTGCACCAACACAGAGGGAGTGCACATGAAAAGGGGCTCAGCACCCCCATTGTGCCCCTCTCCTACATTCTGGGGTGAGGGGCGCCCCACATCTCCAGGCTGAACCCCCATCCCCAGGGATGCTCACCTTAGGGGAAAGGATCACCCAGGGAAAGGGAAAATGGAAGGGAAAAAGGAAAGGGAAGGAAAAGGGGAAAGGGAAGGCAAAGGGGAAAGGGTAAAGGACCCCAGTAAGGCAGCGGGACCCCAGCACAGCCCCCCTGGGACACGGCTCCTTTTTGGCGTTGGCTGCCCAGGGCAGTCCCTCATTTGTCCTGGTTGGCACCTCTCAGTGCTACAACAAACGGGCTATTCAACATTCTGCCTGTGGGGTCCCGAGTATTAATTAGACTAAATTGGTTCGGTACTAAAAAGCTGCCTGCAATTTAGAGATAAAGTGCTTGTGGCTGGGGAGGGAGGCGCGGGGGGGCTGTGCAGGATCATTTAATGGGTTTTATTGTGCCTTCATAAAGCAACACAGCTGGGATGTGGATGTCAGCCTCGAGTGGGAAACCCTCCATCACGATTCACCTCCTCACAACCTATGCTATGAAATATTAGTTTGCCCATGACAAATGTTCTTTTTTTTTTCCCTTTTTGTGATCCAAGTGAAGTTTCTGTTCACAAGGCACAGCCCATACATCTTTTGGAGCTACATTCAATGGCACAAGCTTTGCTGGCCACTCAGGGTTGTTAATTTGCTCTTCTCCAGGGAGGGGCTTCATGTTTATGCGGCAGCTAACACACAGAAAATACCAATTTATTGTGGCCAGGTGGGTGTAGATGGCACAGCCGGGGGCCAGGGAGTGGGGCAGAGCCAACACGGGGGGAACGGCCACGGCTGCCAAAACCAATGAACCGGGCAAGAGCCCGTGGGTGGGACACGGGGACGGGCAGCAACGCCAAAAGCCCACCCACAGGGAGATGTAGTCTTGATAATGCTCAATAAAATACTCCTCCTTTTTGGAGGAGGGGCTGCATCTTGCATAGCATCATTAAATATATACACTCAGTACATTCTGACTTGCTGCTGGGGATGGGCAGACAGTTTTTTGCTGGGTGCTTGGGCACAGGGGGATTCAGACACCACAGAAACCAGGCAGGAAAAGCATCTGGGTTTTGAGGGTGCACATTTTTTGGCTTACAGAGGTTATCCTCTGAGCCCCCTGCAGGGATTTCTTGTTAAACTAATAATA